GTTATTATTCATCATTAGCCTGATTAAATTCATCTACCCCAAACCTTTAATCATTAATCTTACGAGAGCTAGAAAGATATGTATAGATCTATATGGGTTTGATATCCCCACCTGCGATTGATAGCTACAATCCCGTCAGGATAACTTTGTAATTACTTACTATTCGACATCCGATGAAGCGTCGTGCGGGGAAATCACTAGTCAAACAACGTCAATTATGGAGACTCATGGTAATACATTACAACCACCTTAGAGATCTAACTACCAAGAGGGACACCTTAGAGTGGTAGATAAAATACATTAGGATTAATAAAATATCTTAAAAGACAATAAGATAGGATTGGTAAGTATCCTACAAAGATAGTAAATTAGGATTAGTAAAGTATTCTCTTATTACTTCTCCCTGTTCAAATCTCATATTGGTATCATTGAACCTCTTGAAAAAATCCGTAGAAAATTCCCTTGGGTTGGGGGTGAAGACAAGTCAAAAATCCATTGGGTTGCATGGTCGAAAGTTATAACTTCAAAAAAAGATGCTGGTTTGGGAGTGGGATCCTTAAAATCTCAAAACCTTGCCCTCCTCACTAAATGGTGGTGGAAGCTCAAAATGGATCGGGACTCTATTTGGAGAAATGTGATTTATAGCATTTATAACCTCAAGATCAAGTCGACATACCATGCTGCTAATAAATCCATCTGTGGTGTGTGGAATAATGTGGTTATAGTTATCCATAGTTTAAGCGATTTTGGTTCATGTCTCCCAGATATATTTCCTTTAAGTCCAGGCTAATGGAAATAAATTTCTTTTCTGGAAAGACCCGTGGTTGGATTCTATTTCTCTATAGCAAAAGTTCATGCATCTATAGACCTTAGAGAATGTAAAAAGATGTTGTATTGCTGATCGTTGTTCCATTTGTGGGCATACCTGGGCTTGGGCTCAAAATCCTAGCCCCCAAGAAGAAATCGATGAACTCTTTAGTCTCTACTCCATTATTGGTTCCTTACAACTGGGCACCAATTCTGATGGAATTAGATTCAATCTATCTAGTGATGATATCTTTTCAATGGAAGTTTTAAGGCTATCTAGATTCTAAACTCTCTTCCAACTCTGGTATTTCAATCACGTGGACTAAAATGGTGCCTCTTAAAGTCTCATGTTTTGTATGGAAAGCAATGATGGATAAATTACCCATGGGTGTAGTTATCTCTTCTCTTGTATGCAGACTATGTGGTGTTAATAATGAAAGTGGGGATTATCTTATTCTTAATTGCAATATGGCGATTGCTATCAGAGAATGAATTCTTAAATGATGTACTATCCTCTCCCAATTCTCTGATGTCATTGAACTTATAAATTTCGCTGCTCAATGGGATAATTGTCCAAATAAAAAGAAGTGACTTATGATCATATTTTATTGTCTGTCTGACGAGCGAGAAATAACAAGATTTTCAACAAAGTTCATACCAACACAACTGGAAACACGGAAAATATAATGTCCTTGTCGGGTTAAAGTGTATTTATTATTTTTAGTCCTCGTTGCTGGACGTTGGTGTATTTTTAATATATTTTTGACCGTTTCTAAAAAAAATAGTAAAACTAAAAATGCAATTAAAAATAAATAAAAATAAAATACAAGGTTGTTTGACTCATGGACCGCCTACCCCTACCATATCCCAGGCCACCTATTTTAGCCGTCACTATCTGTGCAGACAATCATACCTAGCCGACTAAAAACCCAAACCACCCATATTTACAAACAACAAAACTTTAATTTATAAGATTTAATTTGGGAGAACAACATCGCGATTGATTACGAGATGGAGTCCACGACTTTATCATCTTCTTCTTCTTCTACCAGTCATGATGATCAACATCCACATCCTGATGATCATGTGAGTCAATCGTCAGCTGAGGATTCCTTTGGTTTCGAGCATCTTCAAATTAATGCTTACGATGGTTCTCATGCGCAACAGTTGATACCGGAGTCTGCGGAAATTGATGACGAGGATCAAGAAGAAGAAGAAGAAGACGACGATGATGAGGCGGAGGAAGGTGATTTTACGTTTATGTGCATAGGTGATAATGATTCAGCGATTACCGAGGACGTTGAAGGCGGCCAGATCCGGCCGGTGTTTCCTCTATTTGATCAGACTTTGCTATCAGGCAGTGAGTACGATGAAGGAAGACGCCGGTTGCCGATTTCTGCTCAGGTGGATAAGGTTTTCATTGAATCGCCTCGACTATCTCCGTCGTCAGGAAACGAAGAGACCGACGGAATGGCAACGGGAACGTTCTGCTCTTTGTCAAAAGAGTCGGACAACGGCACGAAGGAAATGAATCTGAAGAGCAACTCCACCGGATTTTCGAAGCTGTGGAGATTCAGAGACAAAATGAATCGGAGCAACAGCGATGGGCGTGACGCATTCGTCTTCCTAGATGGTCCCGATCGCACAACAACGTCGGAGTCAAAAACCGACGCCGTCGACCGATCAAATGTCAAAGTCAACGCCGCCGGAAAGGAAAAAGTTGTTAAAAAGGTATCGAAGGCAAAAAAAGGAACCGCATCGGCACATGAGGTGTACTTGAAGCAAAAAGTAGGGCAGACGGAAGAAGAACGGCGGCGGTCGTACCTACCCTACCGGCCGGGAGTAATGGGGTTTTTCACGAATGTGAACGGTGGGTTAAGCAAGAATGTACACCCCTTTTAATTTAATTAAGGTCTCTGATGATGAAGTTTGTTGGTAATTTGGATGTTTAATATTACTGTTACTGTTAACATTGAAATGCATTTGTTAATTTGATTTGGTTGACTGTTTTTGTTTAGAAGCCATGATCAAATTTAGGGGCAACCGATGGCTTTGTGAGGAAGCTTCCTCTGCTTGTATAATTTATAATTACGTGACAGATTTCTTTTTATCAAAGAAAGATATTGGGTTGCATGGAGTTGACAAAAAGGAAATGAATGATTATGTTTCATTTTCATGGTTGATTGATTTAAGTAACCAAAGTTATGAAAAAACTGTAAAACTGGTCTTTATGCTGAAGTAGATTGGTTATGTTTGTATCTTATTATATAATAATATCAATTTTTGATTGCTTTACGAATTATTTTAAGGTATAATATCAACCTGCGTATCTTTTCTTGACCATCAACAATCGTACATTGGCATTATTTAACAAGTTACGGTAACTGATATTTTAGATACAGTTTTAGTGGCACTGATCCAAGAATTTTTATTTTCTTTGGTGCCTAGCGATTAATTATATGGCCGTGTCGTGTTTAAAACGAGATGAAAATGGTTTAAAAGTCGCAAACAATTTACAAGCAACAGGAAAATTTCAAATAATTGATAAAATGGAAAACAAAAGTTTACATTGAGGGCCCATTAGTATATACACTAACTAACCCAACAAATAATCAGCAGTATATAAAAGGATCAAAAAGTAGCCCAAGGGCTTTTGTAGTTTGATATCTTTTTCTTTTGCTAAGTATCGAGTATTTGAGTTGTTGTGTGAAGCCGTGAAGGGCCGCTACATAAAAATTTATGAAAATTAAAACAGCTCTTCAAGTTTCAGTTTTCAAAACCCATTGAGGCCCTTTGCACCTATACCTAACATACAAATTACATTACATTGTACAAGCGGTGGGCAAGAAACAGGTTCGGTCTAAAAATATGGTATGAGATGTTGAATTGGTTTAGGAAAAAGCCGGCTTGAGTCAAATCGATTAGGTTTAATTCAAACCACCGATTTGAGAATATATGACATGATACTAGATTAAAACCAGTTTTAGTACAATAAATGCTATCTTTGTATCATTATTATTATTTTTTTAAGCTGTTGTTGATACGTTTATTTGGAGGCTTCCTAAAAAATGTTTTGATCCCTAAAACGACCCCAATAACCAGAAATAACTTGTATATATTTAAAGGTAGAAAAATGTGGTGTTGATCCATTAAACGACCGCAAATGGTCAAAAAAAGGCATTACCTCATGGCCAAGCGAGCATTTTATTTATTCGGCTTAAGTTCCAATACCCATATGTTTTATTATCAGATTTTCAAACTGGTTTTTTCCAATGCGGTTTTAATCCGAACTGTAACTTGTTACATAGAATCAGACATTTTACTATGAAGACATACATGTTGGTGCAACAAGGTACTTCAAAGAAAGGAGGAGGATCTTTTTATTCTGCATTTCCGTTGTAACAGATGATTCTGGTGGACCAATCAACCCTTTCAGCTAGACCAATGACCACAAGCCCACAACAGTACTGCTGCGTATTGGGCTTTTGACAACCTGTCTTTTCTGGAAATTTACTTATCTATTACTATTATAATTTCAGTTTGGTGCGTTGAAATCGCTTGATTCGAATCAAAGATTTTTACCTTCTCATATGGATGTACACTCTAACATCGATAGTTGAAACACATAATCAATCAATCTTCTTCGTGTGAATATTATTTATATATGTGTTTGATTGTTTACGTTATACTCAACTATATATATATATATATATATATATATATATATATATATATATATATATATATATATATTGTTATTGTTAGTTGGTATTTCGTATGGCCATTGTTTTTCAATCCAATTTAGTATCAACTTTGTAGTTGGATTTTTCCAGCACCTTCTCAAGCGCCCCATAAACCGAAACATCTTCACCGACCTAATTGTAGCCTTGGGTACTGAATCTAAAGTAACAAGAGTCGGATCTCAAAGACTAATGTCCCCACCTTATACTAAGTTAGAATCGCAATTTAATCAATAACATATAGATATATGATAAAACAATACATATGTTATGCAGGTTAGATACTAACAACAACATAATACTAATGTCCCTGGAAACCCCTATGGGGGCTGGGTTTACCCTGTAAAGGAGCTCGAACCCGGGGTGCTCGTTGAAATATGCGAGTAGGCTTCCGTTTAATCATTTGCCGTTTCCAAAAAAAAGATACTAACAACAACATAAATAAAATATATTTACAAGAGTTTTTTGTAATTTACCGCACTTGAAAAGATTTATGTGTCTACAACAATTTCACACAATGCGAGGTTTTATTATTATTATTATAGTAACATTAATGACGTAAATCAAATATTTCTAGTCTGAGATTAGGGTTAAGATATATATTGGAGCAGTCTTCATAAATGGAAGCTCCATTGAGAGGTTCTGAATGGGTGTGAAATCCAGTCTCTTGGCACTCCCTCACAATTTTCATCCCATCAGGGTCAGATAATCGGAAATACCCGTAACTCCTTACATGCAATAAATAAATGAGATCCAATTTGTAAAAAAGTTATGACTCTTTAATGTGGAAAATACAAAAACCTCAAATAAGGACCAAAAAAGCAACAGAATTGTTTTTGGGATCAAATTTGAAGAAATCAGCTACACAATAATGTAATTTACACTAAATTAGCAATCACATCTGTTGATGCATGATGGATACCAAAAAATAGGGGCATTCATACCTTGATGTATCTGTGGGAGCCATGACAATAGCAACTGCCTCTGGTACCATCACCTTCAGAGAGTAAATAAATAATAAATAAAAAAAAACGATTACTGATGTTGTTCATTTATCTTATTTGTAACATATACCTGATAAGAATATTGTGTATGTAGATCAACTGATGACATAAAACAACTTTGGGAAGGATGTGTCTGAAAAAAAAAATACCATATAATTACTTTATCAAGAAAACATCTAGTAAAAAGAAAAAAAAATAATAATAATTGTATTCATACATGGATCCATCCAACAGGGAAAAGGGATTGTTCATTTTGAATGGCAAATATTTCCTCTTCATTAACAGCCTGACACTATCAATTAGCAAAACAATATACATACAGTCTCACATATATGAAGAAAACATAATTAAAAAAAAAAAAAATTAAACACATTTTTTTTGACTTACTGTGCTAGAAGTAGAATCTTGTTTTGGTATTATAAGAGTTGTTACATAATAGGTCCCTTCTTTCTGGAAGCAAAAAAAGATACAGATACTCAGTTCCATAAAATTACTTTGACCATCAATAATGGTCAAACTTCAAAGAGAAAAAAAAAATCTTACAAGAAACGCCCCAAGAACGCCACATGTCTCCAGATCCTTGCTTGTGTTATCTTCGGCAAGATCAAGAAAGCCATCTAGCAACTGTGTCGACTAAAAGAATAAAACTTTATAAAGGTTAATAACTTCATTGGGTCCCACAAGTAAGTAAACTGGAAGTGTAAAATCTTACTAAGTGAACATCTTTGAGGACTCTAGATGTTGTTGACTCATTGACCAGACTTGTGATTCGTGAAACTTCTGCTGCTCCATGTGGTGGTGCATTGTGTATGCAGGAGATTATAGAAGAAGGGTAAGAGTGTGTAACTTTGAAAAAATTAGGCTGCATGAGACCTAATTTGTTCATTATGATGTTGCCTGCTTGTGACAAGTGGGAATCTTAGATGCATGAGCTCATGTCTTTGTTTACATCTTAGATATGTGCATTTATGTAAGCAAAACAAACATACATCTGATCTGAGTTCTTGTGAACAAGTTTAAAAGCATCACACACTAATGAGCACCATTTGAATGTTCTTTGATTAAACGTGTTAGTGTTCAAAAAAAGATAGAGATGAAATTGTTACTGAAAATTCAAACTTTTAGAGGACACAAAGGAGATACACTTCCTTGTTGCCAAGAGAATTCTCCAATATTTGCAAGGAACCTTTGATCATTGGATTTTTCAAAAGACACGAGAAGATACATATTTAGATACAAGAGGAATTTATGGTCATCAAAGAAACAATCACTTGTTGCATTGTCAGATATCAAACAGAGAAGAAACCACTTCATTTTATTGTAAAAGCAATTTTAGTTGAGGAATGAGGAAAATTTTAGTGGAATTTTACAATAACTTCTAGCATATAAGACAAGAAGCTGAGGTCTAAACTCAGCAAATTCTTCAAAATAGGAAAAGGGATTCAAAAGTTTTTCATGAACCATAGATAAGAAGGATCATAATGACCTAAACACAAGTGGCCTACTGTCGCCCAATTCATTTTTGAACCAATGACAGCCTCGGGAGAGGAGATAATTCATGGTTTCTGGAGAAAACCTAAGTAGACGAAAGGTTTGTTTAGAAAACTAGGGATTTCTTGGATCAAAAACTATCAAGGTTAGCATCGAAGAGGACTTAAGAGGGGATTCTATTGTAAACTAAGCCGATTATCCTGTAACCTTTTGAATGATAGTGGATAGGCATTCTCGGTGCTTGTTTTTGTTAGATTTTGTATTTAGTTGGTTGTGACTTGTGATTACAGTGGAAAATTTGTTGAAAGTACTCTCATAAGTTCAACAGTAAGACAGGGCAAATCTTACTTTGATACATGATCCCATGGATCATTGATAGGAACCAAAGGAACTTGACTAACTATGTTTTACCCTAATCATTGGCGTTAACTTATCTTACGAATACACTTAACGATTCATTCTCCCATTAACACCAAGCCGATTACAAATATGAAGAGGAAAACCCTACACAATTCTAACAGGCAAATGAAAACAATGAACAAAAATTAAATCAGACACACCAGAAACTTGTTGTGCTTGTGCTCAAACCCTAAAATATTGAATTAAAATATGAATTACATATCATCTAAAGAACTCCAAATAACAAATTGATCATGGAAATCTGTGCTCACCGAAACTGAGGGAGAACGTTGCAGCGAAAGCGAGGAACCTTTTGGTGATCTCGAACAATCTACCAAACTTGCATCGATCTTTTTGCCCAACTTGTCAATTTGATGCGTCCTTCTTTCTTCATCGCGTACTTATCTCTTTCGATCTGCGTGTGCCCCATTATTGGGAATAAACAGTCAAAAATATTCCCACCCGCCAAATTCAGCAAACGAATGATAGCAAGAATACCTGATTACGAAATAGCCCTTCATTGCTTTGTGCTATTCAAGTGGTTTAAGCCTTTAAGGTCAACCGCATCTTACAAATTTCACTCAAACGTGAGAGCGGTGTCGCTCACGAAAACCTCAGCGCTAACCGTAAATGCGGTTAATCCATTTTTCAAAACCGTTTGGTGCGGTTATTTTTACAGTGCAGTTTTTTTTTTTTCTTGGTATTTCGGTTATTAACTAGGTAGATTTGATGCGGTTATTTTGTATGGTTTTTAACCACAGTTTAGAATTCAAATGGTTTTAAGAGTTCAAACATATTATTTATAATAATAATAATAATAATAAATAAAATATAAGACAATTAACTTAAATCACAAACAACTAATATCTTAAAAACGTGAAATCACTAGTAATTAATAATAAATATCATAAAATTGTGAAATTTCATCATTTTCCAAAGTTAAACATAACAAAAAACTAACATTTTTGTCCTCTAGAATTTTATCTTTCTTTCGTCCATGAAACTTGTCTTAATTTTAATATCTAATATATTAATAATTAATAAAAAAAATTGTATATAATATATACAGTGCGGTGCGAGTTTTTTTTTTTTTTTGCGGTTTTTGAAAACTAATAACCGCACCGCAAATTTGCGTTTTTTGAAAAACTGAAAACCTCACCATCGATTTTTATTACGGTTGTGGTTTATGCGGTTAATTTTAGTTTTTGTACGGTTTTTGGTCACCCCTACAAACCATAAGCGGTTTCTATTGGAATTACGAAAAAGCCCTACATAGATTCAAGAGTAAATTACACGAATCGTCCCTCGTGCAGGTACCAAAAGGCACGTCTGGTCCCAATTTTCAAAAATTAACTCGGACCATTCCGCGTTTGGTTTAAACTTGTACGCTTCATCCCTCTTTAGTTTAAATATACATAATTCATCATTTACCATACATAAAAGAACTATATTACCCTTGCTAGTTCCATTTTGTATTTATAAAAAAAGGGAAAATAAATTCTAACCCTTATTTTCATATTTATTTATATCTTTTAAGCAGTTAAACATATAAACTCTACCCAACCCCACCCATTTACCAAGAACTCGTAGAACTACCCTAACTCCTCCCTTCTCGTTTCTCCACTTTCTCACCTCTCCCTTGATGTCAAAATATGGCCACAAGAAGTCTTTGCCTCCAATCCACCACCGTCCTCCCCGCAAGCCACTGACTTCATCTGCAGGTTTCAAGCGAGGGTTTCTATCTCATAACGATGGTTATTTGCGCCGCTGAACTCCGCCATCACCACATTTGAACCTGGCGTCGATGGCTACTCCTTCTGGCGAACCTTCGCCCTTTATCCATCATTGTCTCCAACCCACTCTCTCACATTCTCACTCACAAATCTGCTCAATTTATACACAATCGTCGCTCGATTTGTGGTTCGATTTTCAAATTTATGGTTTTTTAGGTTTCAAGTTTCTTCTTTTCATATTTGATTTGGTTTGGTTTAGTGTTGATTATAGGCAGTTTTCGGAAGTATAGCATGGTCGTTCTCATGGAGGGCAGAAGGGAAATGGGAAAAATTAGGGGGAGAGGTGGGTTAGGTGTGGTGAGTGACAGTTTGATGGCGTCGTCGGAGGTGTGTTAGAGTGGCCGAAGTTGTATTGGTGTCATCGGAGTATTGGGGTGGGGGGGGGGGGTAGAGACGAGCTATTGCTTAGGGTTTGGGCCCATTTATTTTTTATAAAGCAATAATAATTATTTTTCATAATACATAAATCAATAATTAACAAATAAATAGAAAATAAATCAAAAAAGAAATAAATAAGGGTAAAATGGTCATTTTATGTCCAGGGATGAAGCGTGTAAATTTTTAATTAATGAGGAACGATCCGAGTTAATTTTTGAAAATAATGACTAAACGTGCATTTTGACACTTACACGATGGACAATTCGTGTAATTTACTCTAGATACAAACCTGACATTCAATCGTCAAAACACATAAACGTAATTATGCATAATAAACTAAACTATTATTATTTATCTGATTTGGTAACTAAATTATCTTTAGGTTATGCTATAAGTACCCATTTAACCAATTTTACCCTCTAACATCAATATTATCAATCTTTTATTTTTGATTTGACATTATTTTTTTTTTCTTTTTTTTCCCTTTTGTTTTTTTTTTTTGTTGTTTTTTTCTTTTCTTTTATATTTTATTATTATTATTATTATTATTATTATTATTATAAATTTTGATAGACATATAAAATTCGGACAACATTATAAATTCGGACGACTATATAAAATGGAACAAAAATAAAGTTTGTTTTCAATCCGTATAACGCACCACACAAATATAACATTGAACCAATTAATATATCCGTGATAAATAAAGACAAACTTTGTTTTTGTTCCGTTTTATATAGTCGTTCGAATGTTATTATGTTGACCAAATTTTAAAATTTAATCCGAATTTTAAAATATTGTCCGAATTGTATACGATTATCAATAATAATAATAATAATAATAATAATAATAATAAAAAAAATAAAAAAGAATTTAAAACAACAAAAAAGCAAAATAGAAAAAAAAAACAAAAGATAAAAAAGTCAGGGGTGGAATTGGAAAAGAAGAGGGGATACTCATAGCATTAGCTTTATCTTTTTGTGCAATAACTCATTAAATTTATAAGTTATCTGATAATTAAGTCACTTTCCGCTAATTTTTAACGGATACCTGATTACCGAGCCTATGTGGAACTATGACTTTTCGAGGAAATTAAATTACATACTGCGTAAAAAAATAGTTTAGTAACCAAATCGAGTAAATGACAATAGTTGATTGTGTTATTGTTACATTTTTTTATGTTTTATCTTTTTAATAGCATTAATTAGAGCAGACCCCACCCATATAATCAAAACCTTCTTCTCTTTTCATGAACGAGACCTTTAACATGAGTCAAATCAACACCACTTTCATATTTCCTTTCGTCCATTTATCCCTTCTAACCGATGGTACACAGACGAAGATATATTCCCGTTACCGATAGGAGCGAAGTATGTCGACGTCGTTACCGGCATGAACGGAGACGTTCTATTCTTCTTCCATTTCTCATGAACGAGACTTTCAACAAGAGTCAGACCAACATCACTTTTCTATTTTCTTTCATCCATTCTTCCCTTCTAACCGGTGGTACATGAACGAAGACGTCTTTCTCTCTTCCCCCTTCTCTAGCACCACGCTTACATCGGGACGATTCAACTCCGACATCGTCTACGTCAAATGTATAAGCCAAAACCTGATTCCGCTCAATGTCAGTGTTGATGCCCTAATCCAATTGTTGGACCTAGGTTCCGATTTGCAGAACTTGTTTGGCCAAAAATTGATTTTGAACATTTCTGAAGTATATCCGTGTATGTGAGAGAGATAGAGAGATGGGTTGAATGTGTGACCCATATTTTTTTAATAATATAAATTAAATAGAAAAAAGTATAAAAAAAGATGGATGACTGATGGTATGACACACTGTCACATAAGCTTCCTCGGTGCGTCACACTACCAAGTAGGCTTGGTAATCGGAGATCCTTTAAAAATTAACAAACGTGACTTAATTAAGATGAAACTTGTAAGTTTAATGATATATTACACAAAAAAAATAGTTTGGTGACCAAATCAGGTAAATGAAAATAATTAATTGTGCGGCAGTGACATTTTCCCAATGAAAAAAAATATGACGTGGTCATAGTGTTACAAGTCGGCCGGTCATGTAGCCTCGATAACCGGGAATCTGTTAAAAATTAACGAAGATGACTTTATTGACATGTAACTTGTAAGTTTAATGATCTTTTGCACAAAAAAGAGTTAAGTGACCTGTAACGCCCGTAGATCCGGACTAGTCAATTTAGAGATAATAGGGGTCGAAAACGACTTTTTGACAAAAGATTATTTAGAATAAATAATCTTAACCAAGTTTTAGAATACGTCTCAAGGGTTCCGTACATATGAAGAACGTTGAAATCCGAGTTATAACGAAGAAGTTATGGTCCGTCGAAGTTTTATGGCAAAACTGGCACGACACCGGGAGACGTAAATAGTGAATTTACGATGGAGGATTTTTTAGCCTTAGAAATCTAAACAAAAGTTGTAGTATACGTTAAACCGAGAACATACAAAAAAAGAACGCCCAAATCTGACTTCGTATGAGGAAGTTATGAATTTTCTAAGATTTGGCTTAGCAGTGCACAGCCCGAAACTCGAACTTTAGATCGAGCGGTTTTTGGCCTATGTGACCTAAATGAGAATTGAAGATCTCATTAACAGGAACTCAACGGTAAAAAGACAAACGAAAACAGAGTCCGTATGTAGAAGTTATGAATTTTACGCGGATATTTAACAGTATAATCTCCTCGTACTGTTAAATTTAAGATCGGTCGAGAATTAGCCGACGGAGTCAAAATGAAAGTTGCAGATCTTATTTTTACGTACGTTTAGATCTAAAGAACGTCAAAAACGGAGGTCGTATGTGAAAGTTACGGATTTTAGAAGTCGGAAGTGTGCTGTGCGAAAATGGGTGATGTGACACAATCTTGGTCATTGCTTTCTCCCCAAGTCTTGCCACTAGATGGTGACATGTGGCACCAAGTTCAGCCATTTTCACCCTATAAATAGAACCCCCCCCCCCCCCTCCGAAAAGCCTAGGGAACCTCCCTAGCACGAGGCGGAAGCCCCGGAGTGATCGACGGCTCCGAGAAGAAGAGCTTTTCGGCTCGGGAACGCTGCTCCAAGCAAAGCCCGGTTTTCTATAAAACCCGCTGTAAGTGAGCTACGCTTACGCTATTTTTAATATAGCTTTTATTTAATTATAGTAACGTTATTAGAAACTTATAATAAGTACTTGGGCTATTATTATGGGTTATATAAGTATTGTTTAACGCTTATATAATAGTAATAATAGCTAGACTATTAATTTGTCTCGGCGAATACTAGACTAAACTCTAGTGGTAATAAATACTAGGTTTCGTCGAAGGAAATTATTTTTTTAAGAAGCGAAGTGCTGTCTGAGTTCAGAATCACCACCTTTTCAAGTGAGTGCATAGTCCCTTTCATCTTACACATAGATATGAAGTATTTAATATAAATTACGTGCTATGTGTGCATATTGTCTGTATACTTGTCGTATGTGTTGGGTGAAATATTTTTATATATGTTTTAAATGATTTAAAAAGTATACATATTTTATACCTACAAAATGTGTTGGGTAAAACATGGGTAGATGAAATAGTTGTTGTGTGACAAGAACAAAATGATGAGAGGTGATATAGACCATGAGATAAGGGTGAGAGGTAAACCATGAGAGAAGCCTTTTACCCATGTGTTGGCCCCGTCATTCAGCAGAGTATGGATGACAACCACAGACTATTCTAGACAGTCCAGTGGACACTAGCAGGCTCGCAACCTGTAGGTGTTTTGAACTGTGTGCTCACCAGCTGTACTCTAAAAACCCCTTGACATGTGTTGTGAGAGGATTCTCCGAATCGATACTGTCGATAAAAGAGAATAACCCTGGCGACTATGAGACTTAGTGCCTATTGAGTAAACCATGACATCGATGGACTTCGTGCCGATTCCTTAGGATAATCCTTAGGAATGAATGAACGATGAATAGCTGATTCTTAGGGTAGATCCTTAAGAGTAAATAAGATAATGGGGATGGGTAATTGGGTTGGTTGATTGTTTGATGATTAAACATAATGATTATATTATTGTGGGTTGAAAACCCTATGTACTCACCAGGTTTCCCAACCTGACCCACTCAAGCTTATTTGTATCACAGGTGTCGATATATGAAGCCACTTTACACTGAGAGATTTAAAAGAGATGTAGATCACTAGTGTAAATGAATGTAAGTTTTGTTCATGCTTATGTTTCTGTATTGACGATGACATCCCAAGGTTTTGAAAATGAATAAAAATACATTTCTTCAGAAATGCTTTGATAATGTATTTATCATGTTTTCTGGGAACAAATTCCGCAACAGTTTTATTAAAAGAAGTACTCTGATTTTTATAAAGCATAAATAAAAAATCGGTCTTTTCTGGCCGTGAAAATGGGGATGTCACATGACCAAATCGGGTAAATGATAATAATTGATCATGCTACAGTGACATTTTCCCTAATTACTAAATGTACTTTTTTTACACGATAGATCTAAACAACTCCTAAACTACTCA